TATATATATATATATATATATATATATATATATATATAAAATATATGTTATACGTGAGAACATAGAAGGTTTCAAAACTTTAGAAAAAAATGTCAAGAACATAGAATGGTAATTGTCATATTTACATACATAAGAGTAGCATTTGAGACATGTTCTTATACATACGCACGTACGTCGATATTTTTAGTATTATCATTCTTGTTTTCTAATTTTTATCATTGACGTTGCCACTCGTAACAAATATCGTCAATGATTTTATTAATATTCTAAATTATTAATATTATGATTTTATTAATATTGTTATTATTACTTTAATGTTTAACGATTGCGTTATTTTGCGATACGACATCCAGTCAGGTCATGTTATTTATAATTTATATCATCTGGAAACTGTTAATTTGAAATTTTGATGAAAGGCTGATTTTCAGTTTTCTACCTTGGTCGTACATGCAATGATTAATTCATAGAAAATGATGTTTCAAGCAGTTACACATAACACTTGTATCTTCTTTTATATCTAAAAATAAAGCTTGATAAAGATGATAGTTTTGTTTCTTTATGAGATTAATGATGTGATATCACCCGAGGTACATGAATGTACAATATGAATGGAGATGTAGACCGAGATACAGTATCAAAATATTATCGTAATTAAAAGCAAGTTGTTATACTAATTAATTATAAATTCTTAGAAACGTTCCTTTTTTTAATACGGACATATATTATAAGATAAGATATGTATAAAATTTATTTATCTTTTCTAATTACTATATCCTCATTGTCGAAATATCTCTGTAAAACAATCTTTTACAACTTGCACTTTTTAAAAAATTAATTAATAGTTCCATTATTATTTTGCAATCGTATTTATACACTGCTGTTAATTTCGTTTAATTGATATATATATTTATTTCACTCTCGGAGAAGCGTGCTGGATTTAATTTACTCATATTTTTTGTTTTCTTATTCTTGGAAATAACACTCTCATTTTCTGGAGAAACTACCAAATACTATAATATATATGACAATAAATAAATGATACGATAATAAATATATAACAAATGAAATAATGAAAGAAAGATGCGAGTCAATCGTAACTCATGATCCATTATGGTCTCTAAGGGATCACTGAACTTGTGTATTGGTGCTCCAAGGGTTAATTTTAATAAAATTAGATAGTTTTTTCGATGCTGATCATTGTTTTCCCGTTGATTAATTTAATTAAATTAATTAAAATTATCGATAACTTGTATTACGTGCTGTTTGAACAGAACGATATCATTCGAATTATTAGTCGTAAATTATTGGTCGATCTCGTAATAATTTATTTGAAACATAAATTTCAATAATAGTTTAATACGATTTTCTTTTGAATTGATAAACATAACTGTTCGTCATCGATTAGAATATCAGCAGAAATTATAAAACGAATCTCTTGCTTTTAACAAAGATATTTAGGATCGAAGGATAGAGTATTTATATAAAAAGAAATCTTTAGTTTTTTGATAGGTTGAGCTTATAAAGTTCAAGCTTTTTTTAGAAATCTCTTTTTGGGATCAGTGAGAAAAGACACTCGAAGATATATATGCGTGCAATATACATGCATATATACAGGCAAGTTATTCTAGGTGTTCTGAACGATATATATTCATCTCTTACGAATTCCTCTTTTATTTATATATATTTATGTATTACATTTGCATTATAGTTTTCAGATGGACAAGTTACAGTAGATTTACTTTTAGCTAGAGTATAAATTGTTGTATGGTATATAGATAAGATATTTGTAAATTTGCGTTATTTAGTATTTTAATACACAATACACATTAGAAAGTACTATTTTCCAACAGCGTTAATATGTGTCTTGCCTATATATATATATATATAAGTAGATTAGATTTACATTTATATTAACATAAAATATACTAACAACATATGCACAGTTGAGGATATTGTTTAAGCAGACGAAACGTAATTAAAGAGATAAAACAGCCCAATTTTTCCAGCTACTTGAACAAAAATTGAATCAAGATTATCTTTAGCAATCTTCAGAGATTAGAATGATAACGCGCGTCTAAAGTCTTTGCCACGTGAGACACAATTGAAGATTAATGTCGACCGAGAAGAGAATGTAAATCGTTTCAATCGTTTCAATTCAAACGAGAAACGAGAGAAAAGACAAAGAGAAGACACGTGCGGCAAACGTGATGATAGTCAAGAGAGGAAGGAAATTTTTGGGGAAATGTCGATAAGAAGGGACGACACGCGTGTAGATTGACGCTAGAGACGAGTTGAGAAGAGGGGACTAGTTCTCTCTGGCTACGGGAGAAAGGTGTGAGGTCGGATGAGGGTGTGTGCCGTAGTCGAAAGGACGTTGGAGTTTCGCAAGGTGTGCCGTAGTCGAAAAGGTGGGGGTGGTGTGTGGGGGCGAAGTGGCGATCAAGGGCGCGAGCTGGTATACGGGTGGAAAACTGGCGGGGTGGCGGCGGTGGGGATTACCAGCCGCGAAGCAGCAGTGCGTCGCGACGCTGCCTGCCACGCGGTTGCGGCTCCCCTTCTATCTTTAATCTTCCTCTCGCTTTGAAACATTTTTCTAATCAGTAATCAAACTAGCAAACGCTTTTCTTCCATCCTTTTCCAATCATTTCTTCGCTGCTTTGCCCAGCCGCTGCCATCTTTCTTTCGCTCTTCTCTTCTCTTCTCTTCTCTTTTCTTTTCCTTTCTTTCCTTCCTCCTCATTCTTCCCTTTTTTCCCTCTGCCCTCTTCTTTTCTTTCTTCTTTCTTCTTTCTTCTCCCGGTTTCCCTTCGACCTTCTTCCGATCCGGAAGACCAAGTCCGATCTCTCTGTTTAACTGGCAAATAACTGTTACTGTTTCTTTTCGAACTTTTGTTCTTTGCTTCTCTTTTTTTCGTTTCATTCGTTCGTTCTTGTTTGCGGATTCCACGCCAATTACTTTCTTTGTGTTGCTTTCGTTTCCTTTTTTGCCGCTTGATCTCCGTCTTGGGAATATCCGCTCAGAATTTGATCTGGTTCACCTTTCTCTCTCGCC